AAATGCCCGCTACATTCTCTTTAGTAGAAAAAGCTGATAGGGTTGTGGGGTAAACTTTATACGGGTAAAATTTTGTTTCTGGCAAAGAAGCGGTTTTTTTTCCTCTACAAATTTTTCGACCCTTCTCCCCTTTTTTGCATCTTCAAAATTGACCCCCCAAAAATAAGCCCCCTAAAAAATTTTATCCCCCCCAAACCCCCACCCCCCCCCCCCCCCGATCGGTCCCCCTAAAGGCCTAGATAAACGCGAAGATACTCAAAAGCACATGATTCTCATGATAATTGAATCGATGAACATATTTTATCAATAGTCTTGTATATTCCTTTTTTTGAAATGATTCGTCCTTTTTTGTGGAAAAAAAAGTCATTTAGCATCCACCTGTCTTAACCCGGCGCTCGGCTAATGTCACGCATGCTCCAATGTACACTGGATGGCAAAGATCTTCTCTCTCATCAGCCGCGAAAATCGGTAATTGTAAAAGAGCGAATTAAGTGCAAAGAAAGAAAAAACCTCTGGTACCCAGGCTTACTCCGGTGAAGCAGTGACTCAACTTATTGAGAAAAGGGGTAGGTAATATTTTGTTAAATTATAGAAACTTATTGCTATTATTCCTACAATATTCTTCAGGTACTGGTGCCGATGATGACAAGAGGTGTGGCTCACACTCTGACTGTAAATGTCACGAAAAATGCCGCCGTAACAACTGGAAAATCACATGCACCATGTTCAACAGTGAATGCCCCAAACATGAGGATGAAACAGTGTGCTGTTGTAAAAGTTCCAAAAGGGATTGCCGTATGTTGTCCGTAACAAATTATATTCTTGCACTGATATTTTAAAATTAAAAACATAGAAACAAACAACGCGGGGGTTTTAGCCGATAGGATCGGACGTCCGTTAAGTGGGCAGTCACAAGAATACATTTAATTAGTTTTTTTGCTCATCAGCGTGTTGTAAGTACAGGATAGCAACTATAAACCATTTTGTTTCAACTAATTTTCAACACTTTTTTTACTCGGTTCCAACGTGTTTAAGGTGGCTGCACATTTCTTTTGGCGTTGGTGGGAGAGGGGCTTGTTGGAGGAAAACTCGTCTTTGCTGGCGAGTCTTATGCGAGCCAGCGCACTATTCTCTACAATAGCTTTATTTTATGTTAGTTTTGCTTTTGCTCCATAGGACTGTAAATAGTGGGATTAGCGACTTGTACCCTGCAGGCTTTATTTTGTATGTAACATTTTTTTTAACTCATATTCACACAGATGCTTGGACGACAGCAACAGCAACACCAACAACAACACTCTTATCACAGTCATACACACCGATAACAGAGAAGTCATCAACTACATCATCACCTTCAACCATATCCTCATTGATAACAAAAACATCTGCAATATCATCATCATCAACGACACCCATATCGACATCGTTAACAGAAAAGTCATCACCTACACCATCACCGTTACAGATATCATCATTGATAACAAAACCACCACCGACATCATCATCATCGATGACACTCGTATCAACACTGATGACGCAAACATCAACAACAGTACCATCTTCACCATCGTCCATACCAACAATGACAGAAACATCGACAACTGCATTATCACCGTCACCTGCGCAATCATCGATAGCAGAAACAGAAAAAACATCACCATCTTCAACGTCACCTATACTATCTTTGATAACAAATTCATCGGCAGTGACAGCATTAATACCATCAACAAAACCGCCAGCACCACAATCAGAAATACCACAACCATCTGATTGGAATATATTGGTGAGTTATGGTGGATTGTTCATAACTAGAGATTTATATGGAAAACACAAGCATGATAAAAACGCAGCAAATTATTTCACCTCAGATTCGCGCAATTTGCTAGAGAGCATATGAACTGATAGCTCACAAGAAAAGGTGCGAATGTTAATAAAAAGTTGATAGATCAGGAGGATGCTTGCCTTCTGTGATATTGGTTATGGCATTTGAGAGTCGTCTCCCGTTATTGAGGCAGCAGATTAAGAACAAAAGTTAGTTTCCTACGGGACTGAAGGGCCCCCAATAGCGCAGTGCGCGAACTGAATTTCTTAGAAAACAACTGTAATAATTTCGATTGATGCGCATCATGAGAACCATAGAACGGTAGAAAAGGAAGGAATAAAAGATGGTGAAAAAAAATCAATTAATTATGTCTGAATGTTCAAAGAGGCTGCTGGGTGCCAGTTAAGACAAGAAAGTTATAAATCAAGGTCGATCAGGAACAATTATAAACGATCGCTTTGTCGATCAGTTTTGCCAAAGAAGAGTTCTCAACTCGGTAAAAGATATAAGCTGGCTGATAACAAGATTGCCTCTTTAATGAGGGGATTTTTTTTCTAGGCCCACAAACCAGTGCAAGTTAACGTCACCGGGGATTCAGGTAGCTCCGAGGTGTTTGAATAGGAAGCGAACGCGGTCCGCTAACGCTATGACAAGTTTACCCCATTACTATGTGTTCGATATTTTTCAGCTACTGTACAGTCCGTTAAAGAGCGAGGTATCTGCAAATAAAGGCGAAAGTTTACTGGGTCCAAAATTAATAGTAAATGCTAATGTCAGTAGTGAAATACTATGGGAAAAAAAATGGGTTTCACAAAACTTTACACTTTCCTTTGCAGGTATCTCAGTACTCTTCATCTATTAGGGCTCTCAATATTAGCAACAAAGGTTCCTTAAAGGTGAAGTCTTATCTACTACAAATAATTAACTTGATGCCTAAGTTGACTACGGCCTTGATCACTGGCTTATTAATTTCGCATGTATTTATTGATCATTTTTATTCTTGAAATGAAGCACTCAAGCATGAAAAAAATTTAGTCCGTTTTTTCAAGATGATTTCTTTCTGATTTGATGTCGGAAGGGAAAAAGAATGATTAATTTGTTTGGTCCTTTTAGCTAATAACACTAAGCCGGTCAAAGACAGTCATTCAGATATTGATAGACAGTTGACAAGGTTCAATATAAACTTCATATATTCATGATAAAGAATAGATGGTCTTTCAGCGGCATATCTTCTGTAATCCATTTTACCTTTTTTTTTTTCTTCTTTTTCACAGGAAGCAATCAATGCAACCAGAATTTTTTTAGAAGATTTAGAAAAACTACCGCCTGGAGGAAATGACATAAATATACTGCTAGCTACTCACGAACTCGAATCATTTGCAATTAAATACGGCAAGACTCATCTCACAGCGAATGAAAGCGCAGTTACTGTGCAAAAATTGTTTGGTGAGTTTTCTGTTCTGTTTGATGAGCCAGGTTTTTTTTTTTTTTTTTTTTTTTTTTTTTT